TAATAAATATAATTAATTTAAAAAATTACAAAAAAAAAATTCACAGCAAAAAAATTTTCATTTACCAGTGGATTTGAACACTGTCAACTCGTCGTGTGTCTTCACCGTTATATTTATATAGTTTGTTTAAACTAATGATATACTGTAGCTCGAGGCTGTTAAAATCTCGCAAAATGATGATTTAGTTGTTGTTGAGATCAAAAAGTTTGGGGAGGGGACAAAACTCGATGTATCCTATGTATAAACGTACGAATAATTTATTTTCAACACAGAAAGTGTAGTTGAAGATGACAGTTATTTTATTACAACTATGAGAAACACATAAATAAATGCACATATGGATGCTGAAGAAGAGATAGATAAGGCAACGTCGATAGCTTACGTTCTTTTAATACAAGTTATTTCATTTTCGCGAGAAAATGAGACTACAAAGTTTTTACCAATGTTTCGCATTATCTTACTCAATCGCCTCGCTTTTCTTGATCATCTGTCTTGTAGTTAAAACCATTCGTTTAACCGCTCCGATCGTTTCACGGTCGAAGGTAACATAAAATTAAATAGACGTCTGTAATCCCCAACTATATATTTTTTTTTTTTGACACTTTATGAAATAAGATAAATCACTTATTTAACTACAATAGGATTATGCAATTGACTATACATCATTAGCGCATTCACGTGTACACTGTGTATATATAAATAGGTATTTATGATGAACATTTTGATATATTTGCTTTAAAATTTAAAAAACAGGACGGTTGTTTGTGGGTATACTCACTCAATAAGCAGTAGCGTAAATGATACGTTAATTTTTATGGTGTCTACGTTTTTTGCATCATTCGTCAAAGCTGCTCTTACACGTAGGTTTAAAAAATAAACTTCAAATACCAATAATGATGGCACATTTAATTAATTAACACACCTTCAAAGGAACAATAATCAATAATCAGTATTTTTTTTTTTTTTTCTTTACATGAAAAATTTTTTGTCTTCGCAAATCATAAAATATCACACAATCATATCTCACAAGTCCATCGATACAAAAAACTATTTTCTACTAGACCGTCATCTCGTAATTTTCGAAGGCACTGATCCAAGTGGGGTTCACGTTGTATTTTAGATAAACAAAGACCCTGGAATACCAAGGAAACGACGGGTGGAAAACTGATTTTGCCAACATCTGTAGGTCCCCAAGAAAAAGGGGGCCAACTAAAGAAATAGTTATAATTTGACAAATGCACGCTTTTTATCATAAGAGAGGACCTAAGTTGAGTCTCGACTGGGATTTTAACAGCCTCGATTGATCGGTACGTAGAATATTACATGTCACCAAAATCAAGCAGTCAACCTGACAGATTGTATCAAGTTGCTAATGTGCCAACCCAGATGGAACTTTTGAATAAAAAAGATCAAAGTATCGTATATCTTGGATAAATATTAGAATTTTCTTCAACCAATCATTCAGTGGCAAAATAATGAGACTGATTTCGTTAGGAAAAATATTTTGATGCACTTTAAAGACACGTTTGTTGTTTTATTTTTTGTCATAAGCTCCGGCGACGGAAAATTTTTGTTTGTAGTAAAAATCAACTTGATGAAAAAATCCATCATCTAAACACTGTATTAATTTTTTTCGTTTTTTTAATGAAGTTTGTTTTTTGATTAAGTGTTTACCTTGTCCACAAATTGACAGTAAAAAATCAATTACATCATTACTATTCACTTTTTCAAACTGTCCTAAAAAAATGATCAAGTTCATGAAATTAGCATTTTGTTGCCACTATTTTTGAAGATTTTTAATAATTGTTTAAATATCACAATATAAGAAAATACATCATAATTTATCAGGTGAATGGCATAGAAAATCAGAAACATTTTGGTATTTAAGTACCAAAATAAAATAAAAATTATTGATAAAATGATATCAAAATTAATGGCAATATTTTTCACGTTTTTTGAAAAAATTTCTAGTTTACGTAATGTTCACGTGAAATTAGCGTTGACGGAATTCAGGTTGTTGTATCATTTTGCAAACACTTTGCATACAAGTAAGCCCAGCATTTACGTTGTATTTATATTAAAACGCTGGCTTAAATCGATATACTTGGTTTTTTTATTTTTTATTTGTTTTTATTTATCTGTTACATTAGATTAATATGTAAACACACTAACGCTTACTCATTTAGAGGCACATTACTAAGGGTCTCTCAGTTCTCGTTTTTTTTTTTTTACTTTGAAAATTCAAAAAACACAATTTCTCTCCTATCGAGCGAGAACACAGAGTATCTACACAGAGTATTTTACTTAAATATTTTTCGCTCATGAGTCGGTCATTTTTTATTGTTTTTTAAATTCAAATAATTTACATACTGTCTTCAAATATATAAGCTCTGAATGAATTGTTTATTGTAATAGCTGAGCAGCTAAGAATAAAAAATCGTTTAAAAAGTATGGCAAATAATTTACCGACAATGAATCGTTAAGTCTAAAAATATTGCAAATAATGTCATCACTCGTGTTGGATAATTTTTAATACAACGCTTAGCATAATTAAAGTTATTTCTAGTTTATTTAGAAAAACAAAACTGTGTTCATTTGTGTAATATATTACCAAGTTTTCCTATTTTACAAGAATTATTTACAGATCCAGTTTTTATTACACATCGTATTTTTTTTTTGTAGGTACATGCAAATATAAAAGTAAAAGTTGTTAATAAATTCAACAAAATAGCAACTGATATTTCAATATTACATAAATGTATATCCAGTGATGCTAATTTCACGAATACTGATTAGTTCAATTCAACGTACGCTTTTTTTTTGTAAACTACGCAATGAAAAAATATATATATTTGTATATTTTTAAACTCAATAATGAACATTATGTTATTGATAACTTACAATATTAATATTCGATATAAATCCAAACAAATATACAATTAATAAAAAAAAATTCTTATTATTGGACATACGTTTTTTAATGCGATAATCATGAACACTCTTTTATTCGTTTAAAACAATTTTTTATTTTTTTAATTAAAAACACTCGCTTTGTACTGTTGAAACATTGATTATTTGAAATTTTGTTCGTTTAAATATAATAATGGGTGTAAAGAAGAATATAACGTTAAGTAAGTCACTCAAAAGTATAATTGTACAATATAATGCAAGGAAAGTAAAAGTTATATTCCGCAGCTTATATATGTATATACTTTTTGTATTCAAGTACCGTCAAACATATCATATACACGCGGTAATTACGTTATATGACGTTGACAGAGCTATTTCGACTCAAACCCTATCTAAACCCCGTTCCTACGATAAAATAATAATATCGTGTTTTTCATGATACTTTACAAATAAAAAATAAAAGAAAAAAAAGCGTTTGAAATCGAAAAATTGCATTATCCTCGATAAAAACCATTTAGCTAAACAAAATATTTCCCTTATAATAATCACCATCAGATTCCACGGAGTTCTTGTTTTTTTTTTTTTTTGTTTTTTTTTTTTCATTCATCTTATTCATATGAAAAATTCGAATAACAAAACAAGGGAATATATATACCACAGTGGTGAGCAACATAGTAATTATTTAACAATCGATTATAATTCATTTTGTTACTTACTATAATAGTTTTTTTTTCTTTTTTTTTTTCATTCCATCTTCATTCTTGCGTAAAAATACCATGGTAAAATTATGTAAAATACGCACATTACACTATAATATATTCAACTACTACTTGAGAACTTTGGCTACTGCTATGAGCTATCGAACACACAGAGTAAGACTCTTATCTCTCTCTCGCTCTTTCTTGGTCGGAGAATACTTCTCGCTCGATTTTTTTCTTCTTCCTTTTCTTCATCTCGCGAGGAAAGAATGCACCATCACACGGAAACAAAAGAAGAGAACTGAAGCTAATGTACGACTGCTTTATCGAAATATTGCAGTACCTATTTACTTTTTTCAAAAGTTCTTCGAGAATACTGTTTCTTTTTTTTTTTTTTTCTTTTTTTTTTTTTTTTTTTTTTTTTTTTTTTTNTTTTTTTTTTTTTTTTTTTTTTTTTTTTTTTACACAGAAACCTTTAAATCTATTAAAGCTGCGTCATTTTATAGGTACTAGCAACTTTGTTACAGCATATGAGGTGGCAACGAACAACAGCGTATACGTATACAAGTCTTTTAGGGTCAAATAAGGGATTAGGTACAGAAAAGACATTATTTCGTCCATTTTCATCTCATCCAGCTTGGAAAGTATCGGTAGGTATATGGTTTTTTTCCCTCTTCGTTTAATAACAATTATTATTGGGCGTAACGCTGCACGTTATATTACAGTACACATTAAAAAACAGAAAAAACAAAAGGAACATGGACACGTCACGTTCTTTGTTTTCTTTCTGCTCCATGCACTCGGGAAGACCACTTATCGATACAACTTATATAGTTACATTCATAGTGTTCGGTTTCATCGAGTTCGCCGTGTAATTCGTTAAAAAAAAAAACCTGAATTCCACGCTAATAAAATCCACGATCGACGAGTAACAGCAGCGAGATAAAGCCCACCTCGATCCGCCCCTCCAAGGACTTCATTCGTAGTGTCCATCGGAATGTTTGCAATGAAAAATATTACGTTTCACAAGAACATCGTCCCATCTACTTCAGGATTCTCCTTACCCAAGAAAAAAAGCTCAGTAAAACAAAAAAAAGGGCCGAGCCTTCTCGTCACTCCCTTTCTTAATTTATAGATGCGAGTACGTGTATGCGTGTGTGCTCCGCGCAAAATTCTTACGTTAATGAACAACAAAAGCGTCTGTGGACCACTAAGAGCTCATTGCTCTTTCTCACTTTCTCTTTCCATGCACCAAAGAAGATACAATAAAGGCTGAACGACTCAATTATGTCGCGTTGTGCGTGTATCTACGCACTTATTATTAGCTACTTACACTGCTTTAGTCTCTTTTTACTTCGTTATTATACAAAAAAAAAAAAAAACTCACCAAAATCTATTTCTCTCTCTCTCCTTTCGAAAATATCTACAAAAGGTGGGTGTACGTGTTGATGTGCAGCGAGAAAGCCACGTACGTATGTACCTTCGCCCTCTTCTTGCGCCGAGATAAAGACACTCGAGTGAAAATAAAAGCGAAAGAAAGAGACGAGATGAGGAGGAAAGAAAGAACAAGGGGGATGTAAGGGTGAAGTATAAGAAGACGAGTTACGGTAGTAATAATAATCAGGGGTAGGCTCATCGTTATCGGCAAACAGCCTCGCACAGTTATCCAGCCCGTTAAATCGTCCAGTTGGTGAGCAGCATGAGTGCATAGCAGCAGCAACAGCAGTAACGGGGAGGAGTTAAATCACAAGAAGTAGGGAGTGGTCAACGTGGGTGGAATCACCCGCTCGGTATTTGGCACCGCTTCAAATATTACCGGGGTCTGCTCGTCGGCATTTTGGATGCGTAGTATGCTCGCCACGTTACCGCATCGGTAGCAATAGTTCGGCGCCGACCACACCGTCACCAGCTTGTCATCGAACATGTACCTGTAGCCTGTTGGCGGACAATTCGATTGTTTTTGTTGTTATTTCACTGATCACGTTTCTTAATACGATTTTTTTTAGGACGGGTTGGTTGCGAAATAAAAGCTGGGAATCGTGAGCAACAGAAAATGAGTAAAGGCGTGACCAATGATTCAGTGAAAAGTAAACTTGGGTATAATAGGCATTAGGGATGGTATTATAATGGTGATTTCATTGTATGGTTAGCAGCCAATGGGAGAAAAACACAAAATCCATGTTCGTGCATGTTCGAGTTTTTATGCGGTTCATGGTAAACTTACAACTAACAATTATAATTAATTATAGCAGAGAAATATTTTAACATGCATGCATGATGAAAAAATGCCTTACCTTCGTTTACTAGCTGGTGGGCTCTGCAAATAAGTTTAAGATCATTTATCTCCATGAATAAGTGTGTTATGCTTGCCCCAAACAGCCAACCAGCTCCTCTAGGGCTAACTGTCCACGTTCTTACATCTTCTGGGTCTGACCAGACCAAATCACAGAATGCACCTGTGTATTTAAAAAATTATAATGTAGTTGGATTTTACAGCATGTTTATTTTCTTTTTACGGCATGCAAAGTTAACAACGAACCTTTATGTGGAATTTCTTGTCTCCTATCAATTATTCTAATTTGATCTAAAGTCTTAATTAGTGGTGATAAACCTCCATGCACACATAGGACTTGTTCATCAATTAACTGGGAATAGACATCAAGGAATTTTTATATCATAACTTCATTAAAATTTGATAATCATGCAAGTATGTGTTTGACTTACGGCAGCAATTGTAAGTAGATCAAAAACCTTACAACAATATTTCCATGCATTTGCATTTCCATATTTATTTAGACACTCATCTGTAAAATAAAGAAAATCAATATGAATATCCTTATGTAGTTGTTGAATGTTGTACTGTCAAAACTTACCATAAAATCCATATACATGTGTGATTTGCCTCGACTCATGGTTTCCACGAAGTAGTACTATTCTATCAGACCATTTGGCTTTTAAAGTTAATAGACGGGTCAGTGTTTCTAAACTATAATAACCTCTGTCTACAAAATCTCCCATAAATATGTAATTTGTTTCAGGCACAGGTCCTCCATTACGAAAAAGCTCTTCTAAATCATAGAACTGTAAAAAGAATCATATTCCCTCTTAGCATTTACCATCTATGTTTTAAAACACATACATGTGTAACGACTCGCGTTTAAAATTTATAAGCATATATCAAAACTGATTGTGCGTGTTAGAAAGTGTGTCAGCTGATCAACAAGAAAAAATGAATATTTAAGTAGGTATCAAGATACAATCAATTGAAAAAACGCGATGTCACATAAAAAAAAAGTAGCAGTAGAGTTAGAAGAAAGTAAAGTATAGTTTTTAATAGATTAGGAGCCGACTTATGTATACGTCGCCGAGAGAGACTGGACGCAAAAATAGATAATAGGTAGGTAGGTAGCACGGCACACAGCAGGGACGCATTTGCCCTTCTAAACGCTGCACCGTCGTCACGCATTTTTTGCAATTGCATATAAATAAATTCAAAGAAAAGAAGCTACATGCAACAAATAAATCTAACTTTCACTCGTGCTTTAAAAAAAAAAAAAAAAAAAAAAAAAAAAAAAAAACACTCAGCATCGAAAGACGAAATTGAAAATAATAAAGATTACCCGGGGAGAGAGAGTATTTGAAGGTTAGGTCGAGATAAAGGGTTAAATAATAAATGTATACCTGGCCGTGGATATCGCCGCATACGGTGACGGGCGAACAGACGGGCTGGACGTTTGACTCCTCCAGGAGTATGTCGGACACCATGTCGCACAACTTCTGCTCCGAGCCAACGAAAAAAGAGGACAAACACACGTAGACATGGAATTACAATTTTTTATATATTTAATACAATGTAAACACATCTCTATTATCTGTATTTGTATGATTTACCGGACGATCGAAAAGAACGTGAGGAAGAAAAAAAAAAGAAACAAATGAGTTGGACTGGACGTTCGAACTGACCTTAAGATCATGTTCCGGCAGGTACTTGCACTCCTTGGCGATTTCTATCCACCTGTCGAGCTCCGACATGGTGATAATCACGATATTACGAGAACGATAATGACGATGATAATGGTGTTGCGCGTGTACTATCTTATACTATTATTGTTTTCGTGGTCGTTATTGCGAGGTTAAAAGAACACGGGCCCGATGAGACGGCGATTACGAGGTTTTCGCTCGTACCACCCTCGCACGACGGCAAACACTGCACTGTTCATCTACATACTTATGCGTATCTGTGTACGTACACGCACACACACACTAGCTGTAGATACGAGTAGCGCTGCAATTCGAAATTGGCAAATAGAGGAACTAACGATAAAAAGTTACTTGCCGCCGCGATTTGGAACGTGTGACCTCCAATGTTGGTTCAAGAGCTAGGGTATAATCGGAGCCAACTTTTTTGTATTGAAAATAGTCCGGACGAAAAAAGGTACCATCTCTATCCTATGAATGTATAATAATAACGGAAAATGCCGATTTCACTTCAATAAATTTTCCCCCGACAGAGAGACAAACACACAGTTTCTTTTACTGTCTTATGAAAAGCTGCGTTTGGATCGCCAAGTTCCGAGAGTTTTAGAAGTCGCTATTGCGATTGCAATGCGAGCTCACCTTTAATAATCGAATCTTCCAATCGAAGAACAGATTTTTTAATTTGCAAAATGAGTGGAAGCTTCCACAAATCTTTTCATATCGCGATCTACATTCGTGAATGACTTTTTTCTCACACATATATACAACACACTTACACTGTAGTATAGAATACTAACCTAATCTCTTGTATATAGTATACCGTAAGTGTTGATTATCTGTATTTCATAAGTAGATTTATCGAGTTTACTTGAAAGTTTTGTTTGTTAAAAGTGACTTTCAGTGTATGTTCGGCATTTACAGTCGTTTCAAACAAATTATCCGTGCTGTGTTGTGTAAAAACACAACTAATTGAGTGTACGATGGCCAGTTCTTTCAAAAAATGTATCTCGCTGTTATCTCAGCAATCCTTGTCCATTCAGCGAAATCGAACGTTGGCTACGGTCGCGAAAAAGTATGTATATACCAAGCACTTTGCCGATCAACCTAAACCAACCGATTTAAGGCTTGTCGAGGAACAATTGCCTCCTCTCAAAGATGGTGGTTCGTACAAAACTGTTGCTCTTTTTTTAAAAATCCTTCCCAGCCATCTATATTTCATAACATTTCAATATGCATTTTTACACACGTTATATGTAAATCGTTATAAGTATATAGCTTTCCGTTTACAAATAAATTCCCAAAGAATAAGGAATTAAAAAAAAAATGAATAAATAATCTTCAAATTGATCAGTTTTAACGCGTATGATAAAACGATTTTACACATTTTCAATGCGTGTCCAGTTAACAGCTAATAAAAATAACTTGATCGATGCACAAAGAAAAGTTTACTTGTAAAAATATGAAAAGTTATACATCTTTTGCAAAAACCGATCGCAGATATCCTCGTTGAAGCCGAATACCTCTCTGTGGACCCATACATGCGCGTCTACACACTCCGTCTGCCCTTGGGCAGTACAATGATCGGTGGTCAGGTGGCAAAGATATTGGAATCGAAAAATCCAGATTACCCGGTTGGCAAGAGAATCGTGGGCTACATGGGCTGGAGGAGTCACACGGTGCTGAATCCGAACTTACCACCACCCAAGGAACAGTTTTCGATAGAGAAACCCTACCTTTTGCCGGATATTGGCGAACTGTCGCCTTCCCTAGGACTAGGAGTCTTGGGAATGACGGGGTATAAAGAATAATGATATACTTTTTTTTTTCGTTCCATATTAATTTATACAAACGCGTTTACAACTTTTACCCAGAAACACAGCGTACTTTGGTTTGATGGACGTTTGCAAACCAAAAGCCGGTGAAACTTTGGTGATCAGTGGAGCCGCCGGCGCGGTAGGCTCTCACGTTGGCCAAATAGCCAAAATTCACGGACTCAAGACCATCGGGATAGCAGGTTCGGATAGCAAATGCAAGTGGCTCGTCGACGAGTTGAGCTTCGACAATGCTATCAACTACAAAAAACAGAACGTCGCCGCAGCTTTGAAAGAAGCCGCGGCTGATGGTATAGACTGTTACTTCGATAACGTATGTATTTGTTTTTTTTTTTTTTTTTTCGTTTACGCAAACATTACACGTAGAAAAATACTTTTCGCAACAGGTCGGAGGCGACATTTCCACCGCAGTGATTTACCAGATGCGGCACTTCGGTAGAGTATCGATTTGCGGGAGCATTTGCTCGTACAATGACGCGCAATTGCCCAAAACGAGGATTCTTCAGCCAGCCTTTGTGTTCAAGCAATTGAGGATGGAAGGTTTCGTTGTGTCGCGCTGGAACGATCGCTGGTTCGAGGGTATCGAGAGGAACATGCAATGGATCCGCGAGGGAAAATTAAAGTACAAGGAAACTGTGACCGAAGGATTCGAGAACATGTTCCGGGCCTTTCATGGAATGATGAAGGGCGAGAATTTTGGCAAAGCCGTTGTTAAAGTTTGAAGAGTTTTATAAAAAGCTGTTGTACATTTTTTTTATTTTTTTTTTTTAAAGGGAAAAAGTTTTCCAAAGAATCGACTGGATCACAACGACGACGCTTATGTGATTGCATATTTTTGTACTCCCCTTATGTTTTTTTTTTTTAAAAAGAATATAAATGTTTTCTTACGTTGATCGTGGGTCAGTTATTTTGCTTTTTTTCCTGCGTACTTTTATACTTTTTATTAATTAATTTTTTTTTTTGGACTCATTTGCGCCAAATCAAACGTTATCATCAATAATGACAATCGCATGCGGACTAACTCGTTTCGAGCTTGCAAGTTCACCACTGTGACTGAAATATTCAAACGCACCGTGGCTCCCAGATTTCGGTACAAACGGTCGATTTCGACTGCTTGTCATTCTCCCTTAAAATTCAATTATTTCGATTGCTGGTTATTGGAAAATCATGTGTTGTGTACTGTGCGTCGTATACAGATTGCATGGGCAACATAGGTACACAGAGTATAGGTACGTTCACAACTTGGCTAGCTAAATAAGTAGGTCATGACATACTAGTATAATATACAACGACTTTTGTACTTTGTACTATATACATCATCAGAGAAGAGGGAAATACCTATCTGCTAAGTATATAGTGCGCACACGCTTAGATTATCGATCGAGCGGCAACATACACCCGCACTTTAACTCTTTAACGTTACTTATTACAGGTCGTATACATATACATACATGGGTATGAATGGAAGTGGTTGACGCACGCGTTTGGACTGCTTTTAAATTCTTAACGATCCCATTCTCCACCCTCGGACAACATAGAAATTCAATTTTGGCGAAGAAGGTTAATAGGAAATGTGCCTGTCTTTCCGTTATATAAGTGAAGATTCCTGTAAGAAATCGCATTCGTTCAACGCATTGAAACCACTTTTACTTGGATAGACAATCGCGGTATTGAATAGTAATCGATACGACCGTTTGTTTGTTTTTATTTTTTTTGGTGATCAACAGTCAACTGACGAGTTTTGAATTATAAATTGCGTTTCAAATGAGATTGCAAGTTAAACTTATACAATAAGGGAATAAAATACTGCAGTTATTTAAAGTTTATCGTGAAACGGCCTCTGCCCTGTTTTAACAAACTAACACCTATTTAAATTCTCTCAGAATGAGAATTAAGGGGAGTCCCCGTTAGCGTTTAAATGAACTTTCGTTTTTGATCCAAAATTTTATCTTTCCTGTCTTTCTCTGTACATTTGCATTATTACACATTACGTAATACTAAATTGTACAAATATTCATATTTTATACCCTACCCTTTTCCCACATCTTTCATTTCAAAATATTTGCAAAAAGAAGACAAACGGCAGAAGTTCGTTCCCAAATGGCTTGTGCGTCCGACCGCATTCCTAGTTCTATAACGCCTGTCGGAACATTCCTAGTTTATTTTTTTTACGTAGTTGGTGCTCGTTCAGCACGTGTGTGCACTGGAGCCGTACCATATAAATCTTTTCGCTTCGCGGGCCTATGTTTTAACATAGGCCCGCAAAGCGAAGAAAAGTTATATAGTACGGACCCAGTGCATTTGTGTACTGATTTCTTCAGTTTTCCTTTTTCAAGATTGGCAGAGAATTATATATTCATAGACATATAAGAAAAATAGACTGCTCGTTCTTATGTACGGCGCTGAAGCATAAGTAGAAGGAGACACAACATCGAACGTGGACATCTGTCTCTCTCGCACATTGCCAAAGGTGGGAATGTGCAAGAGAGATAGATACCAACGTTCGATGTTGTGTCTTCTTCTACTTGTGCTTCAGCGCCGTATACATAAGAACGAGCAGTCTATTTTTCTTATATGTCTATGGGCACTTTCCTTATGGATATAAATATATGTAAGACGCCAAGACGCGGTCAATTTGAATATGCGTTCAAGTTGACAGTCAACTGTTGATAACTCCGAATCCGAGAGGGACTCCATGTAGGTACATGCTCATGTAAATGTGTGTTATGTATCTATATTTTGTAGTGGGCAGAGTAAGGCAGAGTCAACCTGAAGTAACCCAAACGGATAATCGAATGAACCTTATGTAGCGGCCCAACCGTCATGAAAATGCACCTTTAAGGGCGTCTGCAAACCGATGAGGTCGGCAGAACGGCGGGAGACTCGAAAGAGCATAATATTCAGCAATTCAGCACATCAGAAACGCGTTCCCATGTATAAATGTGTAGTAAAGTGAAGGGGTGCCATCCTGCCATGCATCATGATCCATCCTTTGACTGAGCTATGATTGTACCGCATAATAGCTGAGGTTAAGACTGGGTGAGCGAGAGCTCTGCTGCGGTGGACAATACCCGCATGTGTATAACCACGCGAGTAAAAGTAAAGACTGATCTAACTGATGAGTATACATCACAAGAGACCAAGAGAGAGAGAGAGCAGAGCGCATGCTCTATCTCTTTCTTTCTTCTTGCTCCGATTTTCCGTAAAGAGAGTGTGTTTAAAACTTAGTCAGCGTTGGTCCGGTTGGTCGTCGTTGTGTACAACAGTAGTTGGCTGGCTGCTGGCCCCGTAGGTGTGCGATCTCTTGGGTCAGACTCTCGTATGAAAATAATCGTTTGCGAGTGCGGGATACCTCATTGTTTTTGCATGTAACACCAACAAACAACAACATATTGAATACGCATAGTAAAGGGGTAACATAGGGAAAAAAAAACAAAGTTGGACCACAGCTCCGAGGAGATAAACAGGGAGGAAGGAGGCGGGCGCTCACGGGCGCTCTCCACCGCCTGCACCACCACCACCACCAGTAGCCGAGAGAGAGAGGTGAGGCGAGCTGCAGTTGCAGCAGCAGTAGAACCGCCGCCTGCGCCGTGAGCATCACCCAGTGGGTCGGTCAACATGGCGGGGAATACGGGCATGGAGCAACTGATCCCGATCGTAAACAAGCTCCAGGATGCCTTCACCCAGCTCGGGGTCACGATGCAGCTCGACCTGCCGCAGATCGCCGTCGTCGGCGGCCAGTCGGCTGGCAAGTCATCCGTACTCGAGAACTTCGTTGGAAAGTAAGTCATAAGAATGTATCCCATGGTACTGCCATATCACCTAGTGGTTGATCAACTTGGATGACTTTCCTACCCTCCTTCTCGCCGTCCTGGTCGCTCTTTCTCTCTTTGGTCGGAGGTGTGTCAGTGCGCGCGCGCGCACATATACGCACACGCGACCGTTATTGGTATCGTCGTTGTCGTCGTCGTCGTCGTTTGTGTTCGAGCTTCTGCTGCTCCGTACGTAATGCCTCTACAACGAACATCAGCTTGTGGGCATCCTTTTTTGTGGAGCTCATGGCTTTTCTCTAATGATGAAAGGGATGAGGGTGATTTAAGGGCGACAAAGAGAGGGTTCAAGTTTTACCTGTGTTGTAGGCTGAGATGGATGAGGTTTGAACAATGATAATTCAATGCGGAGCAAGAAGCCACTGGCTAAGGAGTAGTGTGGAAATAGGGTTGACTTGATCAATACCCTGCACTTGTTAAGGAGTGTTTGATGTTTTGTTTCTTGTTTTTTTTTTATTTTTTTTATTTTTTATTTTGGTGTCTGCAAAGTATGCAAACTAAGGGTTAACATGGATGAGCAACAACATGAATATTACCAGACAATTTTGTTCTTGGTAGTTGTAATCCTGTTAGATATTTTTCAAGTATTGATTTTTCAGTACCTGTATAGGTTGCATAAATTATAAACAGTAATAGCATGTGACTGGCAAAATATCCTTATCTTGATTGATGTAATGGATTTCAGAGTATTTATGTTACTCAAACTTTTTTTTTTACGAATCGATATTATTTGTTTAACATGGCATGCGATTAAAAAGTTATTGATGTTACGTGAAGAAAACATTCATGAATCATCTGTGGTTCAAATAAATTCAGCAATTCTTATGGATTACAATAAGAATAAGGTTAAATAAAAAAAATTCAAACATTTTTAATGACTCAGTATTGTAATATTCGTGATATTCGATTTTAACTAACTTTTTTCGAACATGCGTAAATTTAATGTTTTTAAAAGCAATCAAAGAAGGTTCTGTTAATACTTATCAATGACATTTTTATTTATAATAGAAGTAATTTTACTTGAAAAAAAAAACTGTTCAGAACAATGTCTGTGTTTAAAGAATAACACATTAACTTGCTAAGTACTCTTGTCTGATAAGATTATTACAATCAGTTGCTGACATTTTGTTCTTTTAATTTTATTCATTTGTTCTTTAGGGTGATACAATATAATTAAGAGCTTTATTTTTTGCCACACTATATAGTATAGTCATGTTATTTTGACAAGTAATTCATTCATGTGTGTCTAAGTAGGGAGACTTTTAAAACAGCACATTATACCTTTATTGCATTGCTTTAAACTTGTTAAAATTCAAAATAATCATGCATCAGTTAATTTCTGCAATACTTGCAGTTCTTCATTACTAAACTTATTGTGTCAATCTTCTATAGTGCTCCTTTATAGTTAACCAGGTCAGTCAATAATCTTTCACAGTCTTTGTGAGAAAGAAATAATTCAACAATTTTTTTTTTATTATATATCATAAGACATTTTTTGCACCCACTTTATCGCTGAAATAAAACAAATGTGAAAATCAATTATCCAAACTGTTGACCAGTAGTGAAAATAATTAAATTATTCATTTGCTGTACAGTTTAGCTGTTTACGTTTTGTGATTTTAATTAAAATATGATCATAACAAAGAACAATGCCCTGGTTCAGTTAAATTTAACACAAAAAAGGGGGAGAGAGAGAGAGGAGCCAGTGGCAGTAAATGACAGCAATTGATTGCAGTATCTTATCCCAGGTATCAAATGCAAGTTAATGAGGTGTCATTCATGTGAGGCATCCTTTTTTTTCTCTCCACATGTACACGCTGGCAGGGCTGAAATGATTATTTTTATGGCAACTAGATGATGGTTTGGTGTTTTTTAACTGACCTGAATTCCATAAATTAACCTATGCTCTACAGCACACTACCTCCTATAGCTCCTGTGTTCCTCTATACCTATTATCTAAGCTTCAATTTCATCCACTCATTTCAAGCTAGAGTTTTTATTTAAGCACTCATTATTGAGATCATGTGTTGCAAGTTAACATGATATTCAACGAATTTTAATAACAGTAATCTTGGAGACTATTTGCTTTTGATTTAAAGAAAAAAAATAATAATAAATAAAGTGGAAATTTCCTCCCCCTTAAAAAAACCAACTAATTTTAATTTGATTTAACTCTCCAAAAATTGGACGCTTAATTATTGATAAATATTTTTCTTCAGTCACATCAGTTGTAAAAGTAATTGATGAAAATAGAATATCGTCTTGTTGCTGGATGTACACATCGTGTTTTTCAAATCCAGCAGTGAGCTAAGCTTTAATGAAGGCTCATTTGATGCTTTTTTTTTTTTTTTCATTTTCTCTAGCGAGATACCATGATTAATCACGCTGCCGAAGCTTACGCACCAGCAGCGTCCGTTTCCGCTGATTTTCGAGATTTTTCTTCTTCTTCCTTTCGACGACGACCGGTCGATCTATCCAATGGGAGCATCAAGGATAATTCCTCACACAAAGTGCACCTGAGCTTCTTCTTCCAAGTGCGCTCATTGTTTTCCCGCTATCATCCTCGAAGATCTCCCGTTTCGTCGTTGTTGTATATTTAGAGTTCGCACTCGGCGAGGAATGCGACGAGTCGAACGCCTCTCTGAGCGTTTCCATACTAGGGAATGCATAGCTTTTTTTTTTTTTCAACCGCAAAACATTTATACGGAAAAAAAAACAAAAAAAGAAGTTCGGAAAAGGCAATGTAGCGGGGGGGGGGGGGAAAGAAAAAATTTGCTCTTTCCGAAACGACTGACGTCAGCCCATGTACATATAAAACTCCGGTGTGTCGATTCCGTGACACAAATTACCGGTTGAGAGTCTCCGGTGCCATTGGAGCTCGTCATCATCTCACGCATTTCGCACCACTACGACGATAAAACGTTGAAATCATGCACGAGTTTTTATTTTTTTTTTATTTTTCTTATTTATTTATTATTATTATTTTTTTTCAAGCAACAACACTCGTTTAATGATCAATTTTCTGCCCTTGATTGACGTTTCGTTTGTTTATCTTTCAGGGATTTCTTGCCACGAGGGTCGGGCATCGTCACCAGAAGACCGCTCATCCTGCAGCTCATCAACAGCACGACCGGTAATTAATTTTCTGCATTCGCACTCGCGACATTTCGAAAAGGAAAACATAACGGTGGTGGACACGTGACTGCGAAACGAGATGAAAGGAAGCAAAAGGAATCTCGCGAAATCATCGTTCACCTGTCCCTGCGTGCATGTACCTTTGACAATGGAAGAACAATCGCTCGACAGTTTTACTGGCGCTCCGCGGTGCTGATTCACTCGTTGATTGGCCACGAGCGTGCGCCGTCCATGACGATCGAGCTCCAAACTCCCTTTTATTTTTTCCATCCCAGCATCATCTCAAGGTCCCTCCTTCCCTCCTCGTACCAACGGACTGCGTGTCCGTCTCTCCTCCGCGTTGTTGTCATTATTGTCGTGGCTGTGACGATCTTTTCCGTGCGCTAAAAAAGACCATCCATTGTACGCCCAAGATAAAAATGAACTTGCCCCCTTTGATCACGATGATTTTGCTCATCTCTGCGTATATATACATTGTATATGTACGTCATTTTCGGGGTGGTGCCGCCTCCTCTGCGTGTGCAACCAAAGAACGGGACTTTTTTCCAAAGCGATTTGTCTTTTAATTTTTATCGTCCTTTGTGTTTCGAGGTAAACATGGCGCAGTGACAATTGCTAAAAATACCGGCACGCCATTGTTGTTATGATGGAACAATTAAAACTTTTGCAATTTGTTTTTCTTTTTTTTTTTTTTCTTTCATTATCGATTACTCCCGTACCGTGTACGATAGATTTTTTGGCAAGATTACGTGTACACCTGAAAGCTGAGCGCGACTCTCGAGTGCCATCAAAATATGGAACAACTCGACGACCCAACTTGAACTTGACTAGGTCAAAAAAGCCTTGAGCTCACGAAAATCTCCAAACAATCGATATTATTACCTTATTTTCAAAAAAAAAAATCATCTTTTTTTTCCAATTACCGTTTTTTTAAAGTATACAATTTTTCAATGTCACTTTTACATTTTGGCACAGCGTCTAACATATAATATTTATAAAAAATACATGCATCATCTCTTTGACATTGCATGCTCAACTCCAGCGTTTAATGCCAGTCCGGATGATTCGCAGGTTTACTCCATACAAACAAGATTTCGTCAAAACGCGCTATAAAAATTTCATGAAAAGCACGGCTCCCTTCCCTGCAAAAAGAACGAAAGAAAGAAAGAAAGAAATTAAAATCCCCAGCAGCAGCAGGGGGTAGCTCCCGAAGCGAGAATTCAGGGTCCTTTCGTTTCATAATACTGAATTTCCAGTACAAGGCGCCCGTGCGCCGTCGCGGGTCAATAAGCGCGCGCCCAACCCTCCCACCCTCGTACCTCCACCCACACATTGCACGTCGCGGAAACGCGCGCGCGCGTGGACGACCGACACGCGAGTGTATATATATATATGTACCCACAGGGTGCTCCCTTCTCAAGTGGGTGGGTGCAGGTTGGTCCGTGAGTTTATACATACATGTATACAATTACGGGGGGGGGGGGTTAAAAAGTGTTCACCTTCTTCTTCCTTTCCCCTCTTTCGATGCTCTGTCAGCCGATGGAGACGACCCATCGCTCGCGAGCACGTACAGGTGTACGTGTTTCAGATTGATGGACGGATGGACAGATTAGAACGAGCGACACGATGAGCGCCATCGGAGAAACCTGTCAAATACGCGCGCGTACATCACTATCCGATATGGATGGTAACGTATATGGGCGTACGCGCACAGAACAGGTGGCAGAGGGAGGAGGGCAATGATAATGTTGTCACTTAAACGTGTACAAGGGGATATATGTATTTCAAAGAATGGCCCCTTCGAGGGAAATATTGTCCGATTTCTTTTCTTTCTTTTTTTACTTCACGAGCTGTGGGTCCATGAAAAAAAACAACGTCCAAATGGACCATCCCAAAAAAAATTTGTACAAATCGTTATTGTTTTGTTTGGTTTTTACTTTTTTTTCCGATCCATCATTTCGATACAACGATTAATCGCGCCAATCCCGTTGTACGTATATGGCCATTATGACAATGAGCAAGCAACGATAAACGAAACGATTCGTCCTTCTATGAAATTACTTCTTTGAATCATCGATGATTCCACGATAATCGGGACACGCATAAACCCACTCTTGTGTACAAAACGGTGCGTCGTTGCACACTCCGGCCCGGGTTAATCTCCCATTGACCCTGTGGATCCCATGCGCTCGTCGTCGTGTCGCTCGATCGAGGAGGGGTTTTTTTTTTTTTTTTTTTCTCGCAGCAGGTGATGCTATATTCATTCCATTGTATACTTGTACAGCTGGATAATGCGTTATTGACACGTGCACGCGTCATGGTACATTATTACATGGACACACTGGTTTACGTATAAGTGATTGCTATATTTAATAGTTGATGGGCTGTCGAGACTTTTGATGCGTATAGCGTCGACGCGAAGGAGGATCGTATATACTTGTGTGAAGATGACGACGACGCGCTACTGGTGAAAAACGTATGTACATAAGCAGCCCCGGGAATCGCCTCACGTACTCGCAATCGAGCGATACTTTTTTTTTTTTTTTTTTTTTTTTTCTTCTTCTCGAGATCGACATCATTTCGTCCTCTGCTAAGAGTCGTTTTCATTGACAAATGACAAGCTTTTATGTATACGTTGGTACTTACCAAATCTCAATAAGAAAAATTGCAAGTACTCCGCAATAATAATATGCGTATTGGTGGCGCGTCAGCTTTGTTTGGCATATGAAAACCGTACCGTTGTACGGATAACGATAAAACCGCGCGCGTACATATATATATATATATTTATTCGCTGATTAATAAGGAAGGCGTGATAAAATTCTTACCCGCTGTGCTCTGAATCCGCGTGTAAGTACCGATTCATTCATCGATTTTTTTTAACATATACATACCAATTATTTGGGGAAAAAAAAAACAAGAAAAAATACCGATAGCTAGATAAATCATGAAAATGAACCAAATGACAACCGCACTGCAAACACAATCAACTCGGGAAGCGAAAAATCAATAGAGAGTAAATATTCCACGTAGGTACCTATATAAATGTGCATGAAAAAAAAAAAAAAAAAAAAAAAAAAAAAACCCTTCCAAATACGAACCGGTCGCGCTTCGTCGCAGGGGCCAGTTGAGTTTGAAACTCTTTAATTACTTGCAACTCGAACGAATGATTTCCGGTCCAGCGCCACGAACTTTGCGTCACTGCGCGTTACACGCCCACAAGGTTATTAAGCTACTCCACCGTGTCCATCTATCCATCCACATATGAATATAATCAAACACGTGTCCCTTACATATTATACAGTGTATCGCACGCGATGAACTCCTTTTCTTACAAACGAGTAAGTAAATAAGTATACGAGTACAGCACCACCCGCAGGGGCGTATATGTACAATGTAAGCAAAAGTACAAATATATATACGTGCACGTGCGGCTGGCACCCCCTTATCGATTCTTGGCCTCTCGATGCCACTCCACTTCGATACGAAGGAAAAGACCGGGAAAGTGGGTGGGGGGATAAGCTACAGATGTATAGGTGTATATTGCAGCGCTATACTGAAAAAAGAAAGGCTGTCGGAAAATGAAGACAGACAAGACCTGAAATGCGGGGCAGGGGGGGGGGGGCATGAGGTAATAGCCCAAGCGCGCGCAACACCAGCGAAAATAGCATATAAAGTTCACGGCGGCGTGAAGAACTTTCTTCCTTTTTTTTCGCGAAAGGAAAGAAAAGATAAATATGATAATGGCGATGGTGAAAAGTGGGCTTCGCCATAACGATTTCTGGTCGGGTGTTTTTGCTCCCTCCTCCGTCTTCGTTAAACATGCACGAGGTATATAGTCGTTGTACCGAGAGAGAGAGAGGGAGGGAGGGAAAAACTAGGCCACCAGGGCGACCATAGACTTTTTTCCTCCGTTGCATATGATACTATGTAGGTGATTTTTTTTTTATTTTTACCTTTTTTCGATGAAAGTTTGGCCTACCTTTTCCACACCCGTATAATATTATATTGTGCGCTATTGTACCGGGATTTTTGCGACGGTTAGTTTCACGGGGTAATGATGACATCCATAACTGTACGGGATTTGTCGAATTTCTTCTGTTGGCGTATATTGCGATGGTTGATCGTTAACTGGCTTTCATGGTACCGGCAATAAAAAAAGTAAACCGATTTCATTGTCACCGATCGCCCGCATCGCTGTTACTCGGATTGTACATGCAATTTTTTGCAGTTCAGTTTCTCGTTGAATAAAATTTTAGTTTTTTGCAGATCATTAGTGAAGCTATCATAACGCGAGTGAGGAAAATCGGTATCACCGCCAAATTTTCGTTGAACCCCTTCAGTTTTTGAAATTGCGAAAAAAAAAAATATTTTTACCAAAGATACTCATTTTAACCATAGTGAGGAAAAAAAGAAACATCAAAGGCATTGCCGAACAATTTTATTGTAGAATCGCTCGAGTTTCCCCCTCTAACGCTCTGACTTTTAATCAAAAGTACGAGCGGAAAAGTAGCAAAGTGAAAGAGAAAACAAAAGCGCAAAAGTATACACACACGCGTGGTATCCTCCTCCAACGACGCGCCTGGGCGGCGATAAGCAGCAGCAAAAAACGGGCATCATCATCATCATCATCGTCGCCGGCAAAGCGCATTTGTATACATGCGTCCGTTACAATATGCGCCCGTTATCGAGCGCGTGGTTTCCTGCTCTCACTCTCTCTTTCTCCTGATGGCGCGAATATATACTGGCGAATATACTTCATACTTACTAATCGCATGCATATATGTGCAAACGATAAGGAGGAAATCGAGTTCATTGCCATCGAAGTCTGCGATCTTTGCCTAATAATTTATACCTATACGTAACACGTTGACGTCCATGACGAAGGCCAAAGAAATTTTTTCGAATTACCGATATCAAGTATACGCGAGTCTACGTGACCTTCGCGCTGTACTTCCTTCCCGTCACGTCGCGGATCTCGCTTTCGTTGACGCGCGCTCGAATGATCGGTAAAGTAAAACGGGGTGTATAGGTACCCTTTTTTTTTACGGTACTTCTTCTGCTCGAGTGCGGTGTTTTTTAACGCTCGCTTAATGTTTCGCTAGTCGAATTCGTCAAAGATAAGACTTGAAGGGCAATACACGCGGGCAAAACGTCGCAATGCGCGATAAGGAAAGTATTGCAGTGCCGGTGCAGTGCAACGTCCAAGAGGGAAAATTATTTTATATGCATCGTTGTACCGATCCCCACTTACAGTGATTGTACTTTAATTAAAATTGCCGACAAAACAATGAACTGGTCGACGGTTCGCTTTAGTTAGCATCAATGTCATTTGAGCATATGTTTTAATATAATTTCCAAACAAACAATGCCTGGGGTTTGCCTTTGAAATATTTATCAAGCCCTAGCTAGATTTGACGTCGAGTTATGATCTAGTGCGTTTTGTGATTCATAAAACGATGATGTAACTAAAACACAATACGTTTTTTAACATACATTAGTTTAAACCTCGTTGTATCAATGAATAGCGCACAGTCGACTGTATACATGTATTTTGTGCTCGTGTCGTGACGTTTGTTAATAAGTATTATCTTTTGTCGTTAACGCAGAATGCGGCGAGTTTTTGCACTGTAAAGGAAAAAAGTTCGTGGACTTTGAAGAGATACGAAAAGAAATTGAGGGGGAAACGGACCGCATAACCGGCAGCAACAAAGGCATCTCCAACGTTCCCATCAACTTGAGAGTTTACTCGCCCAACGGTAAGACACTCATCGTTTTCCTTCTTGAAAGAGAGAAAAAAAAACAACAATTCTCAATCAAGTTAACATGTATAGGTACTGATTTTAATCTTACATTATGCAAGCTCGTGACGTGCGTTTGTTTGTTTGCAGTGTTGAACCTGACACTGATAGATCTGCCCGGTTTGACGAAAGTGCCGATCGGCGATCAGCCGGCCGACATAGAGGAGCAGATAAAAATGATGATTTTCCAGTTCATCAGGCGCGAGAACTGCCTCATACTCGCGGTCACGCCGGCCAACACAGATTTGGCCAACAGCGACGCCCTCAAACTTGCCAAGGAGGTGGATCCTCAAGGTGATTGTCGAGCTCTTGCTAAACTTACGCCAACACTCGCGTGTAAACTGATTTTTTAAAATTAACGTGTTGCAGGTGTACGTACGATCGGTGTCATTACTAAGCTGGATCTTATGGACGATGGCACCGATGCCCGCGATATTTTGGAGAACAAATTGCTGCCCCTGCGACGAGGCTACATCGGCGTCGTCAACAGGAGTCAAAAGGATATCGAGGGCCGCAAAGATATCAAGGCAGCCCTGGCAGCTGAGCGTAAATTCTTCTTGAGGTGTGTGCCAATTTGCTTGAAAACCAAGTTTCTTTCGAGTCATCATCATGTCATGTGCCTTTGTTCTTTTGATTTGTCCAGCCACCCCTCGTATCGGCATATAGCGGACAGACTGGGCACCCCGTACTTGCAGCGAGTGCTCAATCAGCAGCTGACGAATCACATCCGAGATACATTGCCGGCATTGCGCGACAGGTTGCAAAAGCAAAAACTCGCCATGGAAAAAGAAGTCGAGCAGTACAAACACTTCAGGCCAGATGATCCTGCCATCAAAACCAAGGCCATGTTACAGTAAGTCTGTCGCCCGAGTTTTACAAGAACCCATCTTAGAAAAGTAGTAATAATTGCTAAACGGGCTTTCAATATTGCAGTTGTTGTTTTTTACTTTTATCGAACTCATTTATTACATACCTACGCGGTCTGTTGTTGATATTTTTGCTTCAATTATCTACAAATTAAATGAAGAACAATGCCAAGAAAATAGATCATTTCAAAGTCAATTTGAATGATCTGTCGTAGCACTAAGAAATCCAATTCTGTTTCTTTTTTAGATTACTGCTTTATGGGTGGAAGGTCCTGAAATTTTAGACAATTTTTTTTGTTTATTTTTCAGATCAATTCAAATGTATCTGTACGTATTTACGTAAAAATTTATGTCACTTTGGGTGCCTCTTATTAACCAAGCTGTGTGCTCATTTTATGCGTAATAACAGTCTGAACCGTTTTTATTTTTTTTATTTTTATTTTTTACTTTTCTCTTGTTTGAATCTGTGCATGCTTTGGGTGTACATTTGCTTAGTAAAAACAGTCCAATTAATTATGTTTGTTGGCGAAACTACCAGTCATGTAAATGCAGAGTTTCAGTTTTTACTAAACATGTTGACGAATTGTTAATAAAATATCATACATGTAACATTCGAGCTCTGCTGAAATTTAACTCCATATAGTACAAAAATAATTAGATTAAAATTTTTTTTTCAACGATTTTCATGACTCTCTACCCATAGACTCAATGCTGATGAAACTGGTGCCTTTTTTTCACGCAATTAAAAAGAAAAACTTTTTTAAGGATGATTCAGCAGCTGCAGACAGACTTTGAGAGGACCATCGAGGGCTCCGGTTCCGCTCAGATCAACACCATGGAACTGAGTGGTGGTGCCAAGATCAACCGACTATTTCACGAGCGATTTCCCTTTGAAATCGTCAAAATGGAGTTTGACGAAAAAGAACTGCGCCGAGAAATTGCTTTTGCCATTAGAAACATTCATGGTTGGTTTTCCGAAGTACATGTTTAAAAATGTATACTTACTGCGGTATAACATGCATTATTTTCTGATTTCAGGTATTAGAGTCGGTCTTTTCACTCCAGACATGGCTTTCGAAGCTATTGTCAAAAAACAAATCAACAGGCTGAAAGAGCCTAGTCTTAAATGTGTGGATCTAGTCATACAAGAACTTAGCAATGTTGTGCGGATATGTACAGATCAGGTAGGCGTAACATCTTTATAACACTATTTCGAAACACTTTTCTACGTTGTCATAAAAATTTGTAACTCAACGTTTCTGTTATAATTCATGTTGCAGATGTCACGGTATCCTAGATTACGAGAAACAACAGATAGTATTATCACTTCTCACATCAGAAATCGAGAACAGATGTGCAAGGAACAACTGGTTTTACTGGTTGACTGTGAGCTCGCGTACATGAACACAAATCACGAAGATTTTATTGGCTTCGCAAAGTAAGACAACGACTGATTAATTAAAGATAATTATATAATTAAGGATATATACATAAAAAAAAAAATTTTTTATATATTTACATTATTTTTCCAAACAAAGTAGCCATGCACATAACAACAAACCGCTTTTGTTACATTCGTAATTACATCTGCGATAACCACACACCAACACACTCAGTTTAATTCGCACACAGGAAAGTAGAAGACAATTATTGAACGTAGTTTATCATATTTTATTTGCATTACCTTAAAACAATCAAAGTTAGTTTAATTTTTGTTGATTACATTGCGCGATAAAAAGCTAATATTCATATAGGTTTCTAGGGCTTTATCAATGCCAATCTTATTTTTATTCGAAAAGAAAGAAAAAAAAAAAACTTAAGAATTTCTTCTTCTTGGAAGATAACGCTGCGTAGAATGGTTGTATAAATTAAAAATAGAGCAAAGAAAGAAAAAAAAGAACGATCATAATAAATGTTGTTGAATTCTGGTTCCTCAACAAAATGCACACATTAGACTTGCATACATATTCAGCTTAGTGGCAACTATACCTTGCACTTTTTTCAAATATCCTTTTATGATTAAAACGATGCATGCCTTGCTGAGGCCACTTTGCTTGATCATCTTTGACCTCACCATAATTCTTAATTCTTTTCCTTTTTTTTCGTATAACAGCACATTTAGATTGCACTTATCTCTAGTATTGATTCGCTTCTCATTAGCAATGAATTCACTCTTTTTTTTAAGTACATACTCATTATTGACGTAGAAATTTTATTGAGCTACTTGTTAATTATAATCTGTTAAGATAAATTATAGTAAAATTTACCTAGATTGATTAAGGTGTTGAGAAAGTCAATTTTTAGTTACCGACTGTAAAAAAAATTGTTTAAACTTTAAGTACTCTCTCAATTGCATTTGGATTATTAAATTAATACTGTATTACAACAATTTTATTTTTTTTTAAATATTAAATTTTAATATTTTTTTTTATGACAGCAATTACAACAAAGTTTTTAAAAGTCGATAACTAATCGACTTATTCTCATAGTCGTATGCATATAATGAAAATTTTAAGAATATGTTATAACTTGTAAGTTCAGAAAGAGAAGCTTAATGTGCTTTTTATTAAATTGTAAAATTGGATTCATCAAAACGATATTAAAAAAAAAAAAAATAGGGTTAATTATAACGTACAATACATACAGTAGATTGATATCAAAGAAACTGAGTTTTCTTTTTCTGAGAACTTTCAACATTGCCAATACTTCTTTTGCTTGATAATGGAAAAAATATTGAAAAAAAAATTTGTAACATTTCACCGTGTTTCACTAACCATTTGTCTCACTTTATCATGTCAATCTTTCTATTTTCATTGCCCATGTTGTACTTCACAAATAAAAACAATGATTTAATTACACCGGCAGCGCGGCAGCCAGTAGCCATAATGCAAGGTAAGAGAGCCGATTAAACATGCATCAAAAGTCGAAAATTTTTCATTGCAATTCTTTCTTTTCTTTTTTTACTTTAATTTTGGCCCCCTTTTTTTGTTTCTTGCATACATACTTTACCTATAATCAATACTGTAATTTAGTAATTTCGTTTTTCTTACATTTACTAATTTATGTTTTTATTTTTTAATTATTTAATTTCTATATAATATNGCAATCAGGTCATACGCAAGGGCTACATGTGCATACACAATCTCGGTATAATGAAAGGAGGTTCCCGGGACTACTGGTTCGTCCTCACCTCCGAGAGCATTTCTTGGTTCAAGGACGAGGAGGTAGAGTCTTGCGCACCCTATTTTGTGATCACCTATTTTTTTTTATCGATATCATTGGTCTTTATTTAATTATTTTATTGGTATTGTCGATCGCAGGAGCGAGAAAAGAAGTACATGTTGCCACTGGACAACCTGAAGCTGCGCGATCTCGAGCAAGGCTTCATGTCGCGCCGTCATTTGTTTGCCCTTTTCAACCCCGAGGGCAGGAACGTGTACAAAGATTACAAGCAGCTCGAGTTGAGCTGCGAGACTCAGGACGACGTGGACTCGTGGAAGGCGTCGTTCTTGCGCGCTGGTGTCTATCCGGAAAAACAGACCGAACAGGCCAATGGAGACGGCGAGGTGAGTTTTACCTTTACATGTTTTAAACGAGCAAACGGAATAATTAAGTTTTAATTGATTATCGGTACCACGTTGTTTGATAAATGAATTAAAAAGTTGTATTTGTTGACCCAATACTGTAACATCTAGTCCCATAAAATACAGTCATCGAAAAGTAATTTATGTAAATATTTATTTATAGGACCCGTTGCTGAGTTTGAAAATAGTTAAAGTAATTAAAATTTACATTGTCTATTGGCGAGAAAAAATAATAGAGTGTACGCTTAATCTAACAATAATCAAACGATAGTTTAGTTTGTTACGAAATGAATAAACTTTATGATTTATTGATAAAAAACTTTTGCAATAGAGTTGAAATACCATTTAACAATTTTTTAATCCTAAACTCATTTTTCCCCTTAACTCGTATCGACTAAAGGAAGGATATGAGGTTCGTAAAATTCTATCGTTTTGAATATGTTTCAAAACGCACTTGTGACATGTACACTTTGCAACATCAGACACCTCAGTCTTTCTTAGCACGTAAAACACGTATTTTTCGTACATTTTGTACATACTGTTATACTAAACACAGTTTTTGCATTCATAATACAGAACATTTTTAAACTTAAAGCTATTTTTCGTAATCATGAATTTTTCGCTGTTCAGCCACTCACTAAGCTAATAATTACTGCTAGTAATAGTGTATTACATTGAGTGATTCGATTTTTATAGATTTTAGAGTTAAAAATTAGAGTGTTTACCGTATTCTATGGTTAACTAATCATGAAATTTTAATTTTTTTGTTCTTTCTAACTTGCATGATTTTTATTTTATTATCAATGCAGTATGAAGAATTTTTTACAGCAAATTCAAACTTTAAAAACTATCATTACTGTTCTGAAGTGGGAAAAATCATTTATTATTGCAAAAATGTTCATTTTTAAAGGATTTTTAACATTGGCTACTTATGGGATACTAATCTATTGAAATTAATGATGTCTGCATTGAAGTCACAAGCTAGTTGATGGATTCATAAATTTTATAAGTAAAAATAAACTTAGCAATTAAAAATTTCTCTTGAAAATCATCTAGTAAAAATCGAAAATCCACTCTCAAAGTAGGAAATGTGCAATTTTATTTTGCTAAATAACGCTGTTTTACAAAATTTTATTAATAGACTAGATTAGAAAGGTTGTACGTACGTTAGCTAGAAAATATCTTTAAACAAATTTGTTTCACTTACTGCGTTCTATGGAAAAATGTACTACTTTTGAATTAATACTTTCTGTTGATTGCATTTTTTATTATTTAATAAATACTAAAAATTTAATTAAATATAAGCTTATGTACAATATTGGCATCTACACACTAAGTATAGATGTGTAAATTTATCTTTATCTATATTTTTCAGAAACTTGAAAGATATTTAAACATTATTTTTGAAATTTTATTAAAGACATGCTAGCTGCATTTGACATTTTACTCAATATTAATCCTCAATTTTTTGAAAAGCCGTTAAAAATAATAAAGCTTGTTTCAAATATCTGCGTTATGGGTCCATCCATGACTCGAAATCAAACTGTCAGATTTGCTATCTAGTATAGTTTTTTTCTGATTCGATTTCATTTTCGGCTGACTGATACAAACTTTACTGTGGTTAACAAAGTCCATGATCATTTTCCCATATTAATTATTATTAACGTATTATTACAAATTTTGTAATGCAAAAAATTATAAAATTGGAAAAAATATTGTAATTTTTTAAGACTCTTTATACGTTTTATGATGTATAATTTTACAGCTTTTGACGGACCGAAAAGAGGATATGGTATTCACGAGTCCTTGTCTAACTTGTTCTCATAATTTTGTAACATAAATCTTTTCGTTGAACCTCATTCACGAATTTTTAGCAATATTTGATGTAAAAATTACAATTAATTCAAAGCTATTAAAAAATGTACTCTACGTCTCATGTCATTTAACGATGTAAAACTATTCTCCAGTTTTTATATTTAGATCGTCCAAAAAATAGATTGATCTTTAAATTTAAAAATTAAATTTGTACAATAGCACGAAGCACCTTGTTGAAAATTTTGCTCCCAATTTTTTTGAAAAAACAAGACCACAATAATTATACTGTAATTATAGACGAGGGCAGCAAATACGACTTCCACTTGATTAAAAAGCATGGCTGCATAACTGCATAGAGTAGTTATCCTCTAGTTACACTATCAACACAAAAACTGCTTCTTAGTGACAACTCGATTTTTTATGTTCTTGTTAATATTATCCAATTACACATGGCAAATTAACATTAAAAAAAAAAAAAAAAAAAAAAAAAAAAAAAAAAAAAAAAAAAAAAAAAA